AACAATTAAAAAAAATTCTCCTGGCAGGAACGAGCTGTTCACATGTTTTGCTCCAGGGACCACTGCCAGCCATGACACCAATAATAAAGCTGCCTTTGCAGCACAAAGCTGTGCAGTGACGCTGCTTCTGGGAGGCAGTTCTGCAAGCTGGCAAAAAATCCCCCTCTGCATGCGAAACAAGCAGCACGCGCTCCGTCAGGGCTACTCTCTAGGAGGGGGAGAAGTGCAGCTCTTCAGCGCTGCTCCCTGCCCCCAGCTCAAGTGCATGCCTGCACGCAGCTCCTCCAGCCTCTACACACAACCTTGCATGCTTTGCAGCAATTGCACAAGGCACCTAAGCACTGCTCCCTTCCTCAACTATTGGCCAAGTTCAGAAGACTGTCATTCCACTGAAGCCAGAGGAATTCACGCTAGCTTTTTGCTCGTAATTTTGATCTTAGAATCATAGAATAGACGAGTTGGAAGGGGCCATGAAGGCCATTGAGTTCAACCCCCTGCTGTTGCAGGACACCACGTTACACCATCCCACTCAGATGGCTGTCCAGATTCTTTTTGAATGTCTCCAGTGTGGGAGAGCCCCCCACCTCTCTAGGCAGCTGGTTCCACTGTCACATTGCTCTGACAGTGGGGAAGCTTTTCCTGATATCTAGCCTGATATCTGGGTTGTCATAGTTAGAATCAGTTATTCCATGTCCTGCACTCTGGCATCAGCAACAAGAGATCTTGCCCTTCCTCTTTGTGACAGCCTTTGAGGTACTTGCAGAGGGATAGCATGTCCCCCCTCAGTCTTCTCTTCCCAAGGCTGAACATGCCCAGTTCCCTCAGTTTCTCCTCACAGGGCAGTGTTTCCAAACCCTGGATCTTGCCATAATACATGCGAACTGTCCCTTTTCTATTTACCTTCTCTCCCTTACATCAGTCCCCAAGCTCTTTTGGAGAATGAAATGCATTTATGCTCCATTTTCATTATTAGATAAGGGACTGAATGGCAGCATGGTGTAGTGGATACAGCATGGAATGAGAAGTACTCAGTCAGGAAGCTCACCGGGTGACTCTGGGCCAGTCATTGACTCAGTCTAGGCTACCTTGCAGGATAAAAGGGTATCAGGATAAAAGGAAGAGAAAGACAACATATAGGCCACTTTGAGTTCCTTGCAAGAAGTAAAAAGCAGGACATGATGTAATTCAAACACCTGATAAGGGAACTTGAAATTATGTGTAGTTTTCCAAGCCCAAAGTAGTTTTAATTTGGAATAACAGAAGTTTTCAAACTGTAAAAACACTGCCTTGTGGCGCAACATGTTACCGTTCAGCATGAACTGCATCAGGTATTTTTGCTGATCAAATCAGTCAGCGCTTACAGCAACTCTTAACACAAGTCCATCTTAAGGCACAAGGTATATAAGCATCATGAATGGAAAGACATTTTAAAAAATGCTAAGGCAAATTGCCCCCCTGTTGAACTGCTGTTGCATTTAGGGCATTCTGCCTAATGGTGAACCGAAATCCATCTTCCTGTAGCTTTCAATTAACTTTGCCTTGTCTTTATTTACATCTGCCAAGAGACAGTTATGGAGACAGAGTATGGAGGGCCGGTCGAGCATCGGGCAGCAGCAGGGTGCCAAATGATAAAGAATGGTGACAGGACATGCAAGGGCAACGTTGTCATTCATCCCCCAAGTCGGCACCTCCTTATCCATGGGCAGCACCGCCACCCATCCTGCTGAGCTGGCACGATGCTTCCCTTTCCTCTGTGACCTCCCCTCCCCTTTGCCACGCCTCCTACCAAATATCCACTCCACAGCCAACCCGTGCCCTTCCTGTCTTTACAACAGAGTGTGGAACTTCTCAGGGGTCCAGATCCCAGTGGTGAAGGCCTTGAGCCAAAGGGCTGGGGCAAAAATCTCAGCAAATTGTGCCTGCCAGAAGAGAAGCCTTAAGAAAGTCATTTCAGGGGGAAATGGGGGGGGGGGGGACTGCACAAGATGCATGGCACCTTCTAGCCATTCGTTGTCACGAAAAAGTAAGTGGGGCCCGGGTAGGGAGGCTTGGCCATCTGGAGAACGCAAGATGGAGGCCCTGGATTTGTCCCATGCATCCCTGCTTTCCTGGGGAGGAAAGCGATGGCAAATCTAGACCGCGTGCTAAAAGGCGGAGGCATCGCCCTGCCAACAAAAGTGCATATAGTCAAGGCTATGGTTTTCCCAGTTGCAATGTATGGCTGTGAAAGCTGGACCAGAAGGAAGGCTGAGCGCAAAAGGATTGAGGTCTTTGAATCGTGGTGCTGGAGGAGACTCCTGCAAGTCCCTTGGACCGCAAGGGGATCAAACCGGTCAGTCCTAGAGGAGATCAACCCTGACTGCTCTTTAGAAGGCCAGATCCTGAAGATGGAACTCAAATACTTTGGCCACCTAATGAGAAGGAAGGACTCCCTGGAGAAGAGCCTAATGCTGGGAACAATAGACAGCAAGGGAAGAAGGGGACGGCAGAGGATGAGGTGGCTAGATGGAGTCACTGAGGCAGTTGGTGTGAGCTTGAGTGGACTCCAGGAGATGGTGGAGGACAGGAGGGCCTGGAGGAATGTTGTCCATGGGGTCGCGATGGGTCGGACACAACTTTGCAACTGACAACAACAACAACAATTCCTGCTTTACAGCATCCACAAAATGCAGCACATTCTCCCAGTACATTCAGCTAAAACTCTTCTCCTCATCCTGGATATCTCTTATCTTCATAGCCTTCTCTCTGGTTATCTCACCCTTATCAGCTCTTACCTTGCTCTACTTTTTCAGTTCTCTTGCCATTCTGCCCATGCGGCTACTTTTTCTAAACCCCTTCCTATTCACCCCGAACTATTATTATTATTATTATTATTATTAATTATTATTATTATTATTATTATTATTATTATAACATTTCTATGCCGCCCCTTGCCGAAACCTCGGGGCGGCTTACAACATGATAAAATACATTGAAATACAATAGTACATAATAAATTACCATTAAATATAACAATACAAAAAATACATTGATTTACAAATACAAAATTAAAATTATCAGTATAAAATAAAAATATAGGAGGAGAAAGAGAAGGAAGAAGAAGTTGCCCAGGCCAGATCATATGTTTTAACAATTGAAATGATGTTTAAATAAAAAGGTCTTTACCTGGCGCCGAAAAACCAGTAACGACGGTGCCAGGCGGACCTCTTTGGGGAGTGAATTCCATAGGTTGGGCGCCACCGCAGAGAAAGCCCTCCTCCGGGTACTTACTCTCCTAATTTCTTTCATGGAGGGTTCCCGGAGAAGGGACTCTCCCGCAGATCTCAAAGGGCGGTCGGGCATATACGGACATAAGCGCTCGTGCAGGTAGCCAGGACCCAAGCCGTTTAGGGCTTTGTAGGTCATAATCAACACCTTGAATTGAGCCCGGGCTTCAATGGGAAGCCAGTGAAGCTGATGGAGGACTGGAGTCATGTGAGCATAACGCCCCGTCCCCGTCAGCAACCTGGCAGCTCTATTTTGCACCAATTGAAGTGTTCGGACTGTCTTCAGGGGAAGCCCCACGTAAAGCGCGTTACAGAAGTCTAGGCGGGAAGTCACTATGCAAGGTTCCCCACTGCTGTGGAACAATTGTCCATTTTCTTTTTCTGCATTTGAGGCCTAGGGTTTCCAAAACACCATTGTACAATCACCTTCCTTTTTTCCTTCAAGTCTCCTCAAAACTCACCCTTTGGATCATCTTCCTAGTCCCTAGCCCTTATTGTAATTAAAGCAAATGATGTGTAATTAAAACCACATCCCCTGCTTACACATTCTTCCACTTCCTCCTTCTTCCATTGTTTCTGTGTGTCTATTTCAGATTTTTAAAGACCTATGATTTTCCATGCATAAAGATGAAATTAAGACCTCCAAGAATAGCTATATTGTACTTCCATATCTAGAAAGTGAAGCTTAATCTGAGATGAGGACCCGCAAGATGCAGGCTGAGAATCTGCGTTAAAATGCTACGGTCTCATTTCTGAAACATGTAAACTAATGCCAAGTGGAGAAGCATTCAGTTAGGGCATATTTGTTGGTTCATCATTGTCTTTCGAAGTCCTAGTAACTTCTGCGGCAAAGAGCACCTTTTACATACATCGGCTGGCATGTCCACTGCAGCTGCTCCTGGAGAGGAATAGCTTGGCCCCTGTAATCCATGCACTGGCAACCTCAAGACTGGACTACTGCAGTGCTTCCAGTGTGGGGCTGCTCTTGATGCTGGTACAGAAGATGCAGGGAGGGCAGAATTCTGCAACGTCTTGTCAGGTGTACATAACTCCTGCCCCTTTGTTTCTGAACCAGGCTCAAGGTACCATTCAATATATGAAGGTTTACATATCCTAGGGCCAGGTGATCTAAAAGCTGCTCTCCCCTGCATGGATCTTTAGGCCATTTTAGGGGCCTGAACTAACCCTACAAAGTCTGAATCAGCAGCAAGGCAGTTCTTTGGTGATGCTTCCCTCTGTAGCACATATGCCAGAGACTGACAACCTTGCATTTTTGATAATTACTTAAAATGTATTTGTTTGCCCTGGCTTTTCACCATCGTCTGGCTATTCTGTTTCACTTTGATATAAATGAAAATGTTTGGGGAAAGAAATTCAAACGAGAAATTTCAGGGGGGAAATTCTCATTCTTTGATTCAGGATGTGTGAGAAGTCTGGTTGGGGTGTGGGAATCTATCAGGCTTCTTGAGCTCATCTCCTGGAGCTCTGGTCTGCTTTGGCACAGCCATGCATCCAACTTCCTGGCAAGCAGAGCATGAATGCTCTGGGGCACACAGGAAGAAGTCTGCCATTTGCACAGCCATCATTCCACAAGCGTCCATGGACTTCCTCTAAGCTCTTCAAGCCCCAGATGAAGCGGGCAGATCCTAGAGGGACAGATTCTGCAGAGCTTTGACACACCTCTAGTTCATGGTTCTCTGGCTTACCTTCGTCATGAGGTGGCTGAAGAGGGTGTGAGAGAATGTCATGTCTTTTATGGCATGATCAGGCAGTCGCATTCTCAGCTTTCAAGACTTCCCAACTGGGGAAGGACATCCTGAGGTTATGGATCCCACAGACCTTGTTCAGAACAGGAAATGCAGGCAGCCTGAGAGACGGCAGAATGTCTAAGTGAAGGAAAGAGAAAAACACATTGTATTCTCGGTCACCTCACAATATGGTGGAAAACACCACAAAAGATTCCAAATAAAGTACAGAATATCCTGAGAATGAGGCAGGGGGAAAACTAGGAGCCGCACTGATTTGCTGGGGGGACTTCCAGCAAATTGGAAGTCAGATGTTGATATATTAGCTGCGGGTCTTCCATGGAGCTGGAGTTGATGCTCCTCCTCCAGATGCACAGAGAGCTGCTGCAGGGCTCACAAGGATGGGGTACCACGATCAGCACCATCTTTGGAGACGAGATGCACCCACAATCACCTCTGAGGAATTTAGCACTTGGAAGGCTGTGTGGAACATGCTGAGAAGACAACTAGAATGATCCTAAATTTCTCAAAAGATAGTTGTCCCAGAAATGTCCCAAGATTTTTCTTGTTTTGTTTCCCCTTGGAAATAAAAATCAGCAGAATTTTTCCCAAATGTTCTTCACCTTTATTTTCCATGGGGATGGATTTACTCTACCCACCGCAAATCCTGAAACGATGCTAGATAAGAGGTATGATGTGGATGCAAAATTCCAGTCAAGCTACGAGCACAATTGATGCTGTTGCTCCCAGCACTGGTGGTGCAAAGAAATAAACGTAAAACCTTTGGGCAATGGGAGAAACGACTCTCTCTTGAATGCTGTATTGTTCTGTAAAATGTAGTGAACCGCACTGAGGTTCTTTAAAAAGGGAAGTGGCATATGGAAGTTCTAACATGAATAAATCAGATAATAAGGTGGTATCAATGCATATGCTTTCCCCCTGTGTAGCCAAACCCTTAAACTTCTGGGGTGCCCAGAACTTCCCTGCTGATTTCCAAGGGGACAGCACTTATTTTAAGAATCAGGCTGCCTGCAAGGTTCATGAAAGCTCTGAATATCTAAGATGGGGAAGAAACCATAAAATTCATTCAGGCCACGTGTAATCTGATTGACTATGTTACAAAAGAGAAATAAGCTTAATTCCAACAAAACCATGGCTGTGCCACAATTTAATAGAACCATGCTGCAGCCTTTAAATCTATGCTTCCCAACATGCCAAGAATGATTACTTCTTAAAGGTTCAGATTTTATTTTTCCAATGCAAATTATAAATATTGTATGGTTTATTATGTATCATTTAGTATTTACATGATCTTTTCTTTAAAACAAATCAATAAAAAAACCCTGCCATTCTCCATGGTGTAATAAGGTTATTATATATCTAGCACTGTATTTTGGGGAGTGGGGGGAACTGCAGGCACTCAATTTCACCTCATCATTTCTTTTAGCTTAAATATTATGCCACATACTGATTAATACCAGACCAATAAAATCATCTTTGCAAGCTGGTTAGAGTCTTTTGTCTACCCAGATGGCCTGAAACGTTAATGTGTGACAATTTCAACAATGAACTAGGACTGTTTTATGGAACCAACATTTGTTCCACTGCTTTTGCTTTTTAGCCTCCAAATTTTAACACAGATGGTATAAATTACTAAAAAGAAAAAAGGGAAAAAGTGTCATTTAGAAAGCTTAAATATGTGGTTTTACGCTGGCCATCAAAATCTTTAATATTTTCAGTTCAGTCAACTTACTAATGATTCTTAATGATTCTTAATTCCTACCTGTATTTTTTCTACCCTTAATTCCTACCTGTATTTCTTAATTCCTACCCACCCCATAACGTCTGATAAAAAGTTCAAAATACAGTAGCCCACTGCACATACAAAATGTTTCCAAGGTGATTCTTTTGAGTCTGGAGGTGCCTTCACACACTGGGCATGGTTTTCCTAATTACCTGTCTGAATACAGCTTGCCGTGTTGTCTGAACCCAAGCCATGCAGGTGCTGTGTTTTAGACAGGCCAATGGGGCTTATTGATGCCTTCGTGACCAAGCAAACCAGGTGACCATTTCACCATTTCCCTTTTTATTTTAAAGAACACTAAAAATAGAGACTTATTTTCCATCTGATTCAGTTCTGCACCCACATTTCCATAATTTTTAAATATTACTACAATGAAAAGGTACTTATTTCCAGAGGTAGCCTGAACATTGTTGAGAGTTGAAGAACGATCGATGAAAAATACTTGTGACATGCATCTCTGTAACAAAACCTCAAACATGACATTTCTGCTTCAGGAGAGGGAGATTTAGACCGGAACCACAAGCATTGGAAAAAGGATTAAATATCTCCCCCTTGCTACTTCTCTTCACTAAAGCACCCCTTCCTGAAGCCATTTTTTTAACAAAGTATAAAAATTACAGGTATTTACAGGTAATGTGTTTGCCCTAAGAAACAAGAGAAGAGAAGCAACAGGAATCAAGCACACACAGCCACCTTTGTGCCTCTTATTCATTTATTTAATTAATTTATATGCCACCCCTGGGTTGGCTAGGCAGTGTATAACATGCTGCATTTATGCTAGGACAGATCCAGTGCAGTTCAGAATGTGGGACTAGGACTTTGGAGCTCTGGGTTCTACTTGCTGTATGGCCATGAAGCTGAAGGAATGACTTTAGCAAGTCCCTGACTCCCAGACTAGCATATCCCAGAGGGTTCTTATGAGGATAAAATCTAGGAGGAGGACAGGAAGAGAAACACGTGTACTGCCTTGGCCTCCTTGGAGGAAAGGTGCGATGCAGATGCAACAAATTGGTTAATTCATATGGTGTTCACAGACATGTGGGAGACCTTTGAAATGAAAGTTATCACTCTATCCAATTTAGGTTTTAGTTTGCATTACAGAATGACTGATCATTGAAGCTCCATTTTTCTTCATGCATGCAATACCCTAAAAGTAGGAGGACAAAGAACGATCATGCTGGAAAGGCTTCCTGCTTATGTCTGACTGGCAGCATGGTGCTTTGCTTGGCTGTATTGGCTGAAGGCAGCTTATAAAGACCTCTGCACTCACTGAGAAGGTCAGGCTGAGAGTGAATGGTTGGCCAAAGTGAACTTCATGGACTGGAGTCCAGATGCCCAATGCCCAGGCCAAGATTCTCACCAACATACCAAGGGGCTCTCATGGTCAAGATGAGAAAGAAATGGAGAAGAAAAAGGAAGGGATAGTTAAAAACACACTATTACAATCTTGTTTGCTGCCTTCTTCTTGGTTGGAAACACACAGCCCAAGGAGGGGCATCTACTCACCCAGCATCACAGCTTCCGATCAGCTCATGAGAGAGGCCATCATTCCCCATTTGCACATGGGAACTGAACCTGGATGTCGCTTGCCCATCCTTGAACACGGGGATTTACCGTGAGCCTGAGTGTCACAATCTGAATGCTACAGCCCTTTGGCACCCCTGAATGTTTTGTTGAATGCAGATATAGAAGAACCAATGGTATATAAAACACTGGAAAAGCCACATTATTGTCCCAAATAAATCCTTTTCAATGTGCAATTTATTTGTGCTTGAGTCTTCAACTCACAACAATTTTCTGTTAGACCTGCCAACAATGAAATGCATTTCGGGTTTGTCTTCCATTAGAATCAATCACTCTGCACAATTAAGCTGATAGTCACACCATTTTTGCTGCTATGAACTGAAGCATCCTAAAATATATTGACATCTGTCTCCTATACAATGACACAAATTAGGTTGAGAGGGCATACGCCTAAATGTCACCAATGGGAAAATATCAATTACTCTTTCTGAAAGCTACCTTATTTTCATACCCCATAAGGCATTGTACAGAGTTTCATTGCATTGGGAGCATGCATTAATCAATGTTTTGCATGCTGAAATCAATAACACACTTATGTTTACGTTTTTGGCCTCTTTTACAATAAATATTGATATATTACAAACTACATAAAAACGTTCCTTGGACTTTTTGTTTGCAGTATGCACTGTATTCATTCGGCAAATAAGTGAACTAAATATTGTTTGTTACAAAACAGATGTCAAATAAAATTATGCCATATGTGCTATTAAACACTCCCCCCCCCACTTCTTTTACAGTGAAAACCAAGATACAGTTTCAGAACTGAATGTATTTGGCTTTTCAAGGATTTGAGGCATGAAAGTAACATCTTTGAATATTTTTAAAGCCTGCTGTGCATCATGCAATTCAGTTTTCCAAGCTAAAACTAAGTGGGTCTGTTCTTAAGGTTATCCTCGAATAAATCCAAAGTCCCCAAAACCTTCACAAAGGAAAACAGCAATGATTTAGAAGGTGAGCTCCTTGGAGCAGGACTTGTCCTTCTTTTGACTCATTTTACCTTGTAAGTGTTGTGTATGTTGATGCATCTCTAGGCTTCTTATTCCATTACACTACGGATAATCAGTGAATTAATAATTATCTTACTGCTGCTTTCTGCAAAAGGTTCACAGAAAATCGAGCCAAATCACCATCTTCTGCCACATAACATAACTGGTGGCAGTCTACTGAAACAGACCATTTAAAGTTTCAATATTTGTCCTACAAAAAATGATTTGGAAATCACTATGACAAACAAGTAAAGTGGAGGAAAATGTAGACGAGGAATCTCTGAAATAAAAATACAGAGCAAGCATGTTGCATAAAGGAAGCAGCTAAGGGCCACACAGTGAAATGAAATCTAGTGGTTGCAAAATATGCATACTGGTATTAAAAGGAATATGTATGTGTATATCTCCACAGAGTAAAATATGGTGACGTTCTTCCAAGGGGGAAAAAGGCAGGGTAAGGAAGGACTATGAGGAAAAGTAGATGCAGCAGTGGAAAAAAACAGAGATGTTCTTAAGGCTCTCCCTTTAATTCTCATGTCATTTCCCTCCTGCTAGACATAAAAGGAAACTGGCTCCAGAAGAAAAGAAGTTGCTCTCAATATTTATAGTGTTAAAACTGGCCCCATCCTCATTCTGCTAATGGCCATAATGTTTGCACAATCCATTGAAGAGTCTGTGTGTACAAGGGCATACAGTCCCACAAGACTTTGCCTTCCCTCCCTGGTGTGTGTCCCTCAGGTATGAAGGACACATGAAAATGTCTCTGC